CCCCCCCCCATTCTTTCTCTCCTCCTCCCTCTCACACATCCACACTCACACACACGCGCGCATGCACTTCCACTCACACTCACACTCACACCCGCACCCTCGCGCCCTCGCGCCCTCTGCTGCCGGTAGAGAATATCTCTCCTTGCTGGCTGCTTTCATTGGTGACGCCTCTGCAGAGCCGGTCATGCCGGATACCAGTGCTGTCCCAAGCACCCCAGCATCCCCAACTTATCCCCCTCACATTTTCGCCCCCCAGCCGGCGGCCATTCGACAGCAGCTTTGCTCCCCCCCACGGCCTGGACTGCTCACGGCCATCGCCTGTCACCTACCGGCGGCTTTGGTGTCGCTGGCCGGGCTGATCGTCGGCTCGCGTGGGATTGACGTACACTTCCGCGACCCGAGCAGTCAGGATAATGAGCGCCTTTTCCCCCCGCTGGCCAGCTCGCAGACCCCCTTCGAGGGCCGCCTAGATCTCATCCGAATGCTGCTGCACTGGTGCGCGATCACTCCCCCTACACTACCGGGCTTGCCCTTGTCTCTTGGTTGCGGGCAAGTGGTCCCCCTTCACAGCCTCTCATCGGATGGTCCTTCTCATGCTTCTCTCCCCTCCCTCCCTCCCCCTTGCCCATTCTTCCCCGCCTGCTGGGGCGTAGCAATGACTACTCCTTCGCTGGCTATGGGCGCTCCATCCTGGAGATCTTCCTTTACAACACGGACTCCGATGACATCCGCCTCTATTCAATCGAGTTCCTGCGCGTGCTGATCCGTGGCGCGGCACGGCTCCCTCGCTCGCCAGCCTCTTGTGGGAGCATGTGCTGCTTGTGTGCCCGGCCGCGGCCTGGCTCGCCTGTGCCGGATCATCTGGAGGAGTCGTTGCCCTCCTCGGTGCGCGGCAGCGACTTGACCCCCTTCTCCTCGGGGCCGGTGTCGCTGGTCACCTGGGCTGTGCGGCATCTGATGGCCAGCCTGTCGGACACCTCGCCGCGGGTGGTGGCCGCTGCGCTGAATGTCCTGGCCGAGGCCGTGTGCTGCACGACCGATATTCTGGGCCCGGCGCTAATGTGTTCCAGCTGTGCTGGTACCAAATCCGATGGAGGTCCTCTCTTTGAGCGGGCCTCCGTGTCGGCCGTGGCCGCGGCGACCATCCTGCGCATCGGTCTCTGCCACATGGACCCCATGTTCTCCGAAGACGAGGTGGTGGCCAGCCTGGCTGGGCGCCCACCGCTGTCGGAGCCGGCCGAACGCCTGCTGCTTGCTCTTTTGGCCACGCCGGCCGGCGTAGCCTGGCTAACACGACACCCGCGTTGGCTGAATCAGGTACACGCCATCCATCGAGTCTCTTGCCTCTGGGATCCCGGTGGCCTGATTTGTCGGATCTCCTCTTGCCTTGTCCCCCCGTTTGTCCGGAACTGACCTCCCCCCCCCCCCTCCCCCCCTGTGTAGTATCTCTGCCGATGGGAGGATGAACTCGCCGAGGAATTTGCCCTGAGCACTGAGCGCGCCATCTCCTCGGCTCTTTCGTCGCCCGGTTGTGACAACTGTCTGCGGCAACAGTCGATGCTGCTTCAGCCGGATGCCGATGTCGAGTCATCCAGTGAGGTTGGCAGTCGATCGAGCCCCTCACCCTCCGGGCAGCATGGGGCCACCTTGGCGGCCTCGCTCGGTGACTTGCCGCGTCACGGTCCTCCGACCCCTGGGCCGAGCTTCTCCCCTGGTACCCATTTGTCTCTTGGCCTGGCGGCCTGGCTCAAGTCCCGCGATGTCCATTGCGGGGCCTGGCGCGGGTTCATTTGTGACTCGTCTCCCGGACGAGTGATTCACGGCCACATGCCGGTGGGCCGGTCGCGTGTGGTGGCATCCTGCCGGTCGCCAGCGGCGGCAGCCGCCGTCGGCCCAGGCGGCGCCGAGCCCGGGACTCAGGCCTTCCAGACCGTCTGCCTGTGCTTCTGTAATTGCGAGTGCACGCGCGTGTGGACCGGCCCGGAGGCCGGGCCCGAGTGTGCCAACAACCCTCCGTCGGTTATCCTGGGCATCCACCTGTTCGGGGTTCTGTCACGCACTCGAGCCGGATGTGCCTTCCTCGAGCAGTCACCTCTCTTCCGGCGGTACATCGATGTCCTTCGCGAGGGAGCCTACACCACCAGCGCCGCCGCGGGCCAGGCTGGGCCCGAAAGTGACCCCAGCTGCGCATGTCTGGCTGCCAGCATCTCCTTCCAGGATCGCCTGGAGATGGCGCGGCAGGAGATGCTCTTCAAGACAGCGCTCTGGTCGGTGGTGCGCATGCACATATGCCTCGCAGTCCTTCTGTCTGTGGCAAATGTCTCTTTTTTTTTTTTTTTGCAACTCCCCCCATGCTCCTCCTCCCACCCTCCTCTTTCTCTCCTCTTTTCGCTCCCACATGCACTCACCGATGTGCTGTCCGCTTGCAGGCACATCTTTTCATCTCAACAGCCGGTGTTCGGCTGCTGCTGCGCCACAACATCCCGAACATGCTGCTAAATATTGCCGAGGGCGTGCATCCGGGTCCCGGTGGTGCTCTTCTTGCCTCCACCGAGGTGCCTACCCTGCGCGGCAGTGTTTTCTATGCTCTAGGCCTGGCCTCTCAGGTGTGTTTCCAACCTTGTGTCTGGCTTTTCTTGCACGCGCGCGTTCTGCCTGTCTCTCTCCTCCTCCCCCTCTGCCATCCTCCTCGTATCGCGTGCTCATTCCCCCCTCCCCCCCCCCCCCCCGCCGGCGTCTCTCAGACACACCTCGGTCGCTCATTGCTTGCCACTCGTCACTGGTCTGTGGCCGGGGCCTCGGCACCAATCAGCTCAATGAAATTCCTGACGGCCACCTATTCACCACGGGACTTCGGCGCGGCCGTCGGCGTGGTACCGGCCAGCGTGGCCAAGTTCCTGAGGCACTTCGACAACTCCTCCCTCTCCCGATGGTATGAAGACGGTCCACGTCTGCTCCCCTCTGTCGGCTATGATGCCTGATGGTGTGTCTGACCCTTCTCTGCAAAGCATTCCCACGGTGGCCTCATCTCCCTGGCCGCTGGATTCCAGTGCCCGCTTGGCCTTGCGGCAGGTGACGCGGCTGGCAAACGGCGTGGTGGTGATGGCCGCCTCGCGAGAGCTCCATCGTCTGAAGGCCCAGGGCCCGGAGGTGTTTGCCCGGGCGGATTTCGCCCGGGCCGCACTCGGCTTGTTGGAAGTTCAGGGATCCCGGTACCGGGCCAGTGCTCGGCGCCTGGTGATCATCGATCTGCTGGAGCAAGCATGGTCTTCGCCCGAAGCCTGGCGGCGCTTCTTCCAAGAGTGCGACCGAGTGGCCGGGCTGCTGCCTAAGGCTGGGCTTGGGAGCACATGTGTGCGGTCAACTGTGGCCGAGGATGCCCCGGCCCCCGGGTGTTGTGGGGAATGCGGCGCTGGTGCCCCGGGTCCCGACCCATGCCCGCGGTGCAATGCCACCACGGCCGGGTCTTCGCGCCAGGGGGCCGGCTTGTCTGGTCTCGGGTCCGAAGGTCTTTGGTCCGAGTGGCTGGCGTCACTGGCAACCGCTCAGGAGGCCGGTCCGCCGACCAGTGCCGGCTCATCGGCCACCGCGTCGGCCGGATCGCTGGAGTCCAACACAAAGCGCCTCCCGGCCGGCACTCGAGTCAAGCCTGACATTGGACCGCGGGGGACCTCTTCGACCCAGGCCCCAAGGGCCGCCAACCATCAGGCGGCCAGTCTCGGAAGTGCTGATGCCACTCCCACCTCATCTCCCTCTTCAGATTCCCGGACGCCTCCGGACTCGCCGGCGACCTTGCTCTCCAGTCATCGACCTCGGGGCATGTCTCCGGGGAAGGGCGCACGCCCTGGGGTCAGCAGCGTGGCGGCTGCCGGGCAGCCGCCAGCCGCCTCGGTCCCCCGGGGTCCCCCCTCCGACACGGACTCCGGTGCTGATGGCGCTCTCTCGCCGCGCATTGTCCTTCGCGGCTTCTGCATGCCGGTCATGCCTTTGCCCAAGGATCCAACCCCTTGAGGCACATGTGCTGTGCGTGTGCGTGCGGGCCCTTTCCCTCGCTCCGTGTGTTGGTCTCCACTGCTTCGACACCCGGGCGCGGGTCCGAGAATGGTGCCCGTCTCTCTGTAGGTCGCTGGTTCCCCACTTTTGCTGGATCCTTCCTCCGCCCTCTTCTTTCCCCCCCCCCCCCCACAGTGCAGATGCATTCTTCTGGATGTGTGTGACCTCTCGACAAGTCCGAGGGGTGTGTGTCCTTCATGTGCTGCCACTGTCCTCCTCCCTCTCAATAGATCATTCCCTCCCCCGCCGAGTTTCCGTCGTTCCCACGGGCATGTTTCCAAGTCAACCAATGAAAGCACACGGTTTGGGGGAGGGGGGGTCGTGAGAGGCGGAAAGCCCCGGGTGTATGTTGCAGGAGGGAAAATGGAATCCCGAGTCTGACCTGCAAGAGGAGAAAAAGGGGAAGACCGGCGCGGGTGCTCGCTTTTAGCCAGGCCAAAGACACCAAACAGGGGGAAGGACAACTTTCAAGCACCAAGGGAGAGGCAAGCCAGCAAGAGCCGCGGATATCTTCGAGCGACAAGGGGGGCAATCAAACAGTCGCAGAATCAGGCGCCACCTGGGCAGAGGGTGTGCTACCACCATCGGCAGCCTGAGCTTCCTCTCGACGGCGGCGAGCCAGCATGCGCAGGCGCGAAGCTGCCCGAAGAGCAGTCACAGCCCCCGCGACGCTGGTCACCGCTCGGGTGAGAGCATGGTCGATGTCGGTGGCCGACAGCTGGATCCTGTGAGGTATCAGACGGGGAGGGAGGGAGGGAGGAGTGGCCGAAGAAGGGTTAGCAGGGCGAGGTTGAAGGACGAGGAGGAAGAAGGTAAAAAAGGCCCGAAGGGATACGTACGAGGCGTTGAGAAGGTTGTCAGCCGCATCCCTGAGAGGATCCTCGCCATTCTTCGTGATCCAAGGGTGGTTCTAGGCCAGAGCGGGCGTGGGCACATGGTGCGGGATGTCAGCGAGATGGGTGG